TATCGTTAATGGGATCATGAAACAAATGCACATACATATTTGTGACATGATGTACCTTGTGTGTGTGAAGTTTGAACTTGATCAATCCAGACATGTCTCTGATACGGATCCAGAACTGAATTCTTTAAAACAAAATGGCCGCCAGTCGGCCATTTCGAACTTGATCCGAAAAAAAAAATGACGTGCATCAAGGTCCTATTATGTTTAATGTATGTACCAAATTTGAACGAAATCCGTCCATGCATAACTGAGATCCGGGTCCGGAATGGTGAAAATGTGCCATTTTGATGCATTTTCGGCCTTAAAATGGCCGCTATTCGGCTATCGTTAATCGGATCATGAAAAAAATGCATGTGCATATGTCCCATATAATGTGTGATGTATGAGTGAAGTTTGAACATAATCGGTCCATGCATGTTCGAGATACAGGTGATCACGGACGCACGGACGCACGGACGCACGGACGCACACAGGGCAAAACATAAGTCCCCGTTTTCGGACTCCGTCCGAACGGGGACTAAAAAAAAGGATGTTTAAAATTTTCTGGTTTGGTCCAAGGAAAATAGTTCGTCTGAACTAATCTAGTTCAAGAACCAACTTATTGTATGATATTATGGTAATAAAACTGGGTAAATGATTAAATAATGATTAGAACAATTCAATTAAAATGGAGTTAGGTAGGTAGGACATCCAAGAATAGTAAAATATTAATAGAGTGAACACTGGTTGCAATTCTATCACGTGATAATCACTACATTCTTCACATGCTTACTAATCAGATCAAACGATCTAGGTAGAAATGTACGCACCTGTTCTTCAAACACGTGTGCTTGTTCGTGAAAACCCTCATTTTTAAAATAATTGGCGACATCTTTGATGTTCCAGTTTGCGGGATCACTAGAGATGCCAGATTTTGCAGACTGCTCAGGGAGATTGGCAGTTTGTGCTGTTGGCGTGGCAACATCTGGACTACTATCAGATTTGGGGCTGAAATAAATAAGTAACAATAAGTAAGTGAGAATTATATTTAATAAAACTGTTATTTTCGCATGTTGTACAAGATCCATGACAACATGATGACTTAAGGTAGCGGGGCTATTATTTGCATACTTGTTTTCATCTTCTAATTGTGACTAAATGACTACAAATAGACCCGGGAAAGTATATATTTTTAGAATCCCCTGACTTCAAGCTTCAAGTGTATTTTGCATGCACGTATCTGCATTCTACGACGCGTTACTCAATCAAAGGTGAAAAATTACTTTTTCTGTAAAAAAAATAATTACGCATTTATGCTGGCAATAAGAAGTATTTTTTTCACTTTTCCTAGTTGTTCAATAGTTGGTAAATTGAATGTGTCTGGTCAGTTTTATTCAAGCAACGCGTTTTAAAAAATAGT